CGTCAGAAATTTGGCTCTCGTCTTCTGAGAGGAAAAAAAAAACAAAGAACCTTGCTTGAATCAAGAACTCGTCTCTCCACGATTCGAGACTTTTGAAAGAACTAGCGTTAGTGATATCATAAGTAAGTACACAACAATCAGCCCCTCGATAAAACGCAACACCCAACGACTGAAAGCGTTCCTGGCCAGCTGTATCCCAAATCTGCAATTTACCAGATGTTATTCCTCAAAAGAAATTAATTTTTCTTGGACACACAGACGGCCAATTGCAGCGTTCAAACTGCCAACCTTTCTTTGGCTGTTCTGACCGAAGCTGTATCAGCTGCTGCTCAGCAGCTACCTGTCCCTAGTAATACTCATGACATTAGCTGCTTTACTCTTTCTTCAATCTTCCGTAAAGACCTACAGCACACCATCTCCCTCTCTCATGTCGATTACGCTGCGCTTCAGCTCATCTACAAGCAATATGTCATGACAACCATCATCCACAGGAAAAGTGCCTGTGTCAATGCATCACGGTCGATAAAGTACCAATCTTGTCGTAGTCCAGGAGCGGGGTAACGTTCAGGACAAGATAGTGATACTCTTCTCATCAAACAGCAAGGACACCAGAGAAATCGCTGCCTGCCAGGTGTTTCTGTCGATAGAATCGCTGAATCTGAATTTCTTTCAGGTGACGAGAACGAAGCCGAACCCACCAACAAGCTGACCTCCAGTCAACGCAGCACTGATCAAAGAACGCCACAGGTGGAGAACCATAGTATGAATCAGCGGTTGTCCCAGATAACACTACACCCGTATCCCGTACCCATGGACCAGCTAAACTGTCTGTAAACTCATTGTTTCGCTTTCTTTTTTTCTTTTTGTACTGACGATTTTAGTACTCTGAACGAAGAATAAACAAGCCTGCATTGTAACTGTTCGATCGCCAATCGATACATCTTTGGTGAGGAAATCGGCGCCAATTGTTGCCTTGTACTGGTTACTGAATTTTCTGTTCACATACTGGTTCATTAATGAGGTTTTGCCAACGCCCGAGTCGCCCAGTATGATCACTTTGAGCAGTGCTTTCTTACGACTAGTACCCGATGCAGACATTTTTAGTGAACAGGGTCAGTAATCTGGAAAAATCAGGCATGAAATCTGCATATTCAATAATTATACAAGACGTGAGACGACAAAAGCGTGAAATTTCACTGAAATAAACACGATCACCTTACACAAAAACTAGAAATAATTGTACAACGCACGGGCTGCCCGTGAGAAGATGCGTTTTTTGCATAGTTTCCCGCAGTTTTTTTTGCTACCGGCGCCGGCTTTTTCGGCAAATTCTTCTAGCTAAATAAATTAAGACTGACCGCCAGCACTGTGAGAAAACACACCCTTAAAATTTCAGCTTTCTAGCTTCCCTGGCTTCTGAATTAGCAACTGGGAAAAAATTTTCACGGGCCCGTGCGTGTTTACCACGCATACCCGAGAGCTGGGTTTGAGCTGAATGA